ATTCTTTCTGACAGAACATGCAAAGTATGGTTTTACTTTGAAAATTGACTCTATCAAAATGACACTATTTGGTTCCATGTTTATTGTCTTTTAATTGCCATCAACTGTTAATTAAGTTTAAAAAGACAATGATTTTTCCCTCTAGCTGCAAGCTCTGTAACACACTGGGATACGAAAAGCACGATACGTTTCTTTTTGCTTCCGTGTTTTCTTAGTAATTCTGACTAATTCCAGGTAGAATACAGGTATAATTACTAACTAGACCCATGCTTGGACCAAAATAAAATCTTTGGGATATGTGGTCATTTATGGGAGACAGCAATATTATAGGATGGGGACAAAAATTTTGAAAAGAAGACCTGTCTGTGAAGATTACTCAAAGTTTCTTTGTGTTTTAGCTCTCTCTAAATTATTACTTTTAAAGGGCCAGATATTTCCCTTTCTTTGGAATATCCCTTGAAGCCCTGTGCCTAGGAAAGAAAATATTTCTTGTTAGCTTCACCACAGTAAATATATTTATATATAAACACCTATGTTACCCAAATACTGGGGTCTGAGTGGTGCTCTCTTTGCAGACAATGGGAAGTAAACCTATGCATCATAGGGAAGCTTGACCTGTGACCAGGCTGTACTGTGCACTTTATTGAAAATCCATACCTGATTTCTTTATTGATTGCATCTAGTTGCTCTTGAAGCATCATGGCCAAAGTTTGCGCATCAGAATGCCCACTTGGTGAGAGAAGGTCCATGGAGCTAAAAATAGTTTCTCTATCATCATCATCAATATCAGACATTTCTGTGTCACTTTCAAATGGATGACTGCTCAAGACTCCAATCTGCTGTGTTCTGTTCCATTCATGATCCCCAAGAGACTTTACCTAAACAGGAATTTGGAAAATGCAGCCTCAGAAAAAAGCCTATTCAAAATCTGATTTCTAGAAATGGAAAAGAGCAGCTGCTCACATTTAAAACATGGAGTGAGTGATGAATTCCATTTTTTTTTTGTATTTACATTAAAATATATTACGGACATTGTGAACTACTTTCATACTGCTTCTGCTGTAGTTCAGTGTAAACAAAGGGGGAGATTTTTAAAAGCACAACAGGGACTTAGGCATCCACCTCTTATTGAACTCCAGTATCCTTCCTTATACTAGTCAAATGCAGGAATGGAAAACTCTTTGTATCTGTATTTAGCATTTTTTGCAAACTGCAAGAACTGGGAAGTTCTGTAACCTGCTGTGATGTCTTTTCCAAACACCACAGTGCATTCTTCTATCCACATGCTGGGTATCTTTTACAAACAATGGTGTACATTCTCCTGTCCATGGGATTTACATTGGCTCTTAATATTGTATACATTGAAAAGCATATGATTCATAAATACTCTACAACTAAAGCAATTTATCACTCTCAAATAATTTCACTGAACAATTAATGCCAGTCCACAATGATGTCTTTAGTAGTCTTATTGAGCAATACATGCAATAACTCATGCAAAATCTTTTCTGAAAGCAAAAAAATGGTTAACCTTTGGTTCATCTCTGCAGACTCCCATACGGCCTCTTCTAGGTCGCCTTATCACTTTAGTTGACCGATAATCAGATTGGCTATCAACTAGTGAACCCACAGAATATCTCAATTCTGCTGATGTGTCAAGATGAGGTCTGAAAAGAGAGGATATCTGGTAAATTTAAACATTAGTAATAAAGTTCAGTGCCTTTCATTCTAGGATCTCAGACTTTTACAAACACTAATCTATTATGTATCACAACAGAAATTACAAACAGATTATGATGACGTGAATACCTTGTACAATACCATGGACTAATAAAGAAAGCAAATCCTGAAACCTTTGATTATGGGCTAAATCATATACACTTCTAAATAAGCACAACTGTACCCCCTCTGTAACTAGATTTCAAAAAAAGATTCAACTTCACTGTAGGATAATCAGTTTGAACAAATTAGTGATTACCTTATATTTTCTAGCAGAATTCTAATGATAGGAAAGTTAGAGACATTGTTACTGATACACTGTTTTAACCACATGGAGGCTCTTGGTAATGCATATGAAATGAGTTGGGGCCTAATCCTTGAGGGACCACTAACTGCTATGGGGATTCTTTTTATTTGTAGGGATGCCCCAATATGCATGTGGAGTTGCAGGATGGAGCCTTCAGCTAGCACCTGGCAAGTGTATCAGCAGACTTCCTAGTAGCCAGATGTCCTCATCAAAAAAAGGAAAAAAAAGCCCACAATTAACACAAACAGAAATCTTTTCAGAGAGAGCCTGAACTACCCTCTTACTAACAGAAGTGAGGCCCACTCTTAAAAAAAAAGGCGATCCTGGCAGTATGGTGTGGAAAACCTGATCATTGAAGAAGGTTGGCCTGTGCCAAATTCAGCAGTGTCCAAAAGCTGCCTATATAGTATATTTTACAAACAAGTAAAACAAGAAGGAAAACAGGGCAATTTTTCTGAAGTATGAATAATCCTGTAGTAAACAAGTCAGAGCCATAAACAATTTCAGAGGCAGATGCTGAAAATATGTCTTAGGCTTTAGTTTCTAAGTACAACATATTTCAGAGCCCATGCTGTGGCCATAAATGTTGAGCCTCCTGGACCTTCATTCATAATTCATCAGGACAAAGGGAAGGAAAGCAGGAGTTATGCCTGAGCGGATAAACATTGATACAAAATGTTGAAAGACTAGTTTGTGGCTATTCCTATAATATGAATGCTTGTCTTTTGGACTATTTTAGAAATAGCATTCATATCAGTTTTTAAATGAACTAATTTCCCCATGTACTAAGAAATTTTGGTTAGGCCTGGTCTTGGTTAGCCTAAACATTAGCAAGGAAAACTGAAAATATATCAAGGTTTGCTTTACATTGCTTTACAATTAAATTTTACAACGGCAGCTGAATTGAACACATGATTTTCAAATAAAAATACCAAAGACATTCTAACAGATCCATGAACCAGCAGTGTAGCGGTGCGGCCTGGTGCCTGGGGCACAAGGACAGTGGCAACTGGAAGTTGCCCCTAGCATGGTTGCAATCAGGATATTAGCCAGGGACAGAAGTTACACATAAACAGGTTTAAGTGGTCAGGAACCAGGTTAAACCTGTAACAGAACATGAGTTCAGTGCACATAACCCAGTTTCAAAATGGCCAAAACTGGTTTAAGATAAACCCAGTTGAATGTAGTATCAGATTTAACTGATTTGAGCCAAACTGGTTTATGGAACTTCTGTCCCAGACCCAGTCCAGGTTTAAGTTAAATCAGAGTCCCCCAACATCCTGCCATGGTTTTCAGTGGTGGGTTGTGCTCTCTGTTCCACTGGAGAAGGGCTGGCCCCACCTGCAGCTGCCAGCAGGGACTTTTACATCCCCCGTAGCCAGGAGCATGGTGGATTCCCTTTCCTCACCCCCTCCTCTGGTAGGGAATTGACCCAGCTCCCAGCTGGGGCAGAGGAGTAAAGACCCCACTGCCGACTTCCCCACTTCACTGGGAATGGGGTGTGTGTTTCCCCCCTCCCCCAACTCCCACCTCAGCTATCCCACAGGACCTGCCGGGCTGTGGGCCACACTCACCAGGGAGCCCCACGCTTCAGGACAGACTGGGGGAGGGGGAGCTGTAGCCATGGATGTGAGCCCCCTCCCTCCTCCAGTGTCAGCCACACTACAGCCCTGCCACAGCCTGGCAGGTGGAGCAGGCCGGGAGCCACAGAGGCTGTGCCAGGCGGGGCTGATGGGCAGTGGGGGCTGGCTCCAGCCACGCAGGGGGAGAGGATTTGCCTGACACCCACAGGGAGCTCGGGGCAGGCCTGACTCCCCAGCAGGGGCTGCAGCGCTGCCCAGGAAGCACCAGGCAGCCCCAATACTCTGACCTCCCAGGCCAGTTCCAGTGAAGCGGCAGCGCCAGGGGCCGTGCTTGCTTTGCCACTCTTGGGATGAAGCAAGGGTCTGCAATAGGAGTGGGGGAGGGAGGGAGGGAGAGGAGGCTGCCATTTTTCCTCCCCACTCCCTTTTCAACCAACCTGGCAGCCGGGGAGACATGTTGCCGGGTTATCTGCCTGGCTCCTGGCTGCAGGGAAACCCACACTCCCCACATGAGCCAGGAGCCAGGGGGATCACCTGGCCACACCCACTCCCCAGATGAAGAGACAGTGGGAGGTGAGGGGGGCAGCCCCTGCTGCGGGCTTTCCACAGCCTGGTTGGGGTCCAAAGCTAGGCTGGGTGGGGTATTTCCCCCCCTGCCTCCTTAGCTGGCCCGCTGGCTGAGCAGGGCTTATGGCCAGGTGGTCCTCTGCCTGCTGTGACAGTTCGCTCCACTGCCACCAAGAGAGGCAGGGGGCAGGGAGCCATAATGCAGCCCAACTGCAAACCTTGGCATGCGGGGCTGGAGGCAGGAGGTGGCAGGTGCTGACATCCACCCCCTTGGGTCGCCCCAGCCCAGGCCATGCTACTGTAGTGGGAGGCAGCAGTGAGTTGGGCTCCCCCACTCCCCGCAGGCAGGTCACATCCCCCCTCCCCACCCCCTCTCCATGGCTGACTGGTTGCTCCTTGGCGAGACTCAGCCCAGGGTGCATGTTGGTGCCTCCACTGCTGCTGCCTGCAATGGTGGGGATTAACGCCCACCCTTCCCCTCAGGCTACTAGCATCTGGCCCCCATGGCCCTGGGTGCACGGCAGAGCCTGTTGGTGCCCATGCTGCCCCCCTCCACCCCCGCAATGGGAGGATTAAACCCCAATTCCCCTCAAGCTACTTGGGTCTGGCCCCACTCCTGCTCCTGCCCCCAGCCAGTGAGTGAGAGGAGTGTCAGGGCTGGGGACTATGTGCTTCCCCTGTCCAGGCACACCGTGGCTGGAGTCCCTGCAGACCAGGGTGGGAGTTTAAACCCCTCCTCAATCACACTCAGACCTGTCCTTTCCCTCAGCTTAGTTTCCCTCCAGCTGAGGACTTGCTGTAGCTTCCCCTGGCTTCTGGCCTGAGCCACTTCAGGCATGTGCCTGCATTTCTGGAGCCAATAGTGGATGTCTGTCCACTTGCAAATTTGTTCATTCTATGCAGGTTAGAGTAACCTGCAAAGACTGAATCAATTCAGGCTCTGCCTTTTTGAATGTCCATCCCTAGCCATCATGGCTGCTGGAAGAAGCTGTTTTCCTTCTCTCCCACAAATCAGTGACTGGAGTGGTTGCTTCAGTCACCCCACCCTAGTTACACTACTGCTATGAAGACATCAAGTGAATAAACAACCAATAGTAACTGTTATTTTCTAAAGCTTGCATTCCTAATGTAAACTGAAAAATGCAATACAAAACCTCCTATGAGACAGATTTTGAAAGATTATTTTGTGTAACATGTTTAAAGTATTTGCTAGGAATTTTTGTGTCATTTCTTTTTAGACTGTCTTGCTGTTTGAACTGAAATTATACCACAAGCACAGGAATGACCCTCAAAATGTGCCTGAGTGTATAACTTATGTCATGGTGATGTCGATACATCTTTCAGATACAGATGCCTAAAATCTGAAATCTATTTTAAATTAAGTCAAATGGAACAAGGGATGCCTATAATGTTTTTACTGCATCTGTCCACTGCCTCCAGAATAAACTACTTTGCTTTCACAGTCTATCCCCTATTGGCCAAGCATCAATTTGCATTCCCTACTGAGATGTCGACTCCCGCCTCCATCCTGCTAGTCTAAATTCCCCATTTGGTACATTTTCAAACAAGTACCTTCAGGTTTTTTTGCATGGTGCTCCTAAAAATCAGGAGGAATTATCTGTAAGCTCTTAAAAGCTACCCTAAAAAGACGCTTTACTATTTTCCTAAAACCTCCCATGTGCTGTCATGCCTTCAGAAAAATTTGGCAAGACACTGCTGGGCCACCAAGACCTTTAATTGCCATGCTGATCAATGCTGTCTCACTTTCTTGTTACACTGATGTTATCTAAATGTTGTCTCCTGTCTTTCTTTGATTTTAAGATTGTTGAGGCAGGGACCAGAAATGTTTTAGTACTTTTAGAGCACAAACACAGTGGATAACTGGTCTATGTCTCCTAGGACAATAATCTGCAATAAAATGATAGAAAATATGAGGGAACAGAAATTCTAGCCTCTATCCCATGTACATTTATCTACTGACTAAAATGTTGTCACATGAACTCATGCTATATCCTCTCTTTGTTGAAAGACCATCCTCTTGCCCAGAGGGAGACAAATCTGGAATGAGATGAACTGAGATTCAAGGCTGAGAACTTAACGTTCCTGAGACAGGACTTTCAGAAATATGATTTCATAGGATTACCAGCTACTAAAGAAGAACTGTTACCTGCAGCTCTGTAAGTGCAGGAGCACAGATGGATAAAGTAAACCATTTTTGACTGAATTCCCACGGCATAGCTGTAACACAGCTTATCAGTGTCAGACAGCACATAGCCACAGGTGAAGTGGATGTGTTTTCATAAAAGTAAGAAAGAGATTCTGAGAGGATGCCAAGAAGTAAGGCTTCCATTTCCCAAAGATAGTGGTGACAGGTCAGAAGTAAGCAAATAAATCTGTCAGCAATCACTATCAGTAGTTCTTTCCAATACAATAAACAAAGTCATCATTGTCACAAGCTGTGCTGTGTACACCTGTGCATGTAACTCACATTGCAAAAGAACAGAAATTTAAGCAGTTCTAAGAATTAGAAAATTTGCATGTACATTCATTAATATATATGTTTCTCTAAATAAGGGGCAAATGGAACATAAAACAAAAGAAAGGAATGAGAAAGTAACTAAAAATTGTTAAGTGATATCTCAGAAAGCATTCAAAGGAAAAGAAAGGGTTCAGATTAAAATGTCCTTAGCAGAGACTTATTACATACATTTTGCCTAGTTTCTTATGATTGCTAGTTATGAAATGAGGGTAGACGAGACAAATTGTAAGTTTTATTTGAAAGGACATATATTTGGACAGAAAGGAAAATTCACTCACTATAACAATAGCAATATGATTTCCATCACATTATTTTCAACTATCAATTTTCAACTATAAAACCAGATTTATAGATTTGCATTTAAAACCTCATGTCCCAATACCAGTTTGGTCCTGGCCCTTAAGGAGAGGCCTTTATACAAACGGGCTCTTGTGCCTCTGCTAAACCCTTACTTTATAATTTATATGCTGGCACAGCCTTGTTACCCATTATGTAGCAGGAGAATATTTGATAGAGCCTGGCCATAATTATGTTCTGTTGTTAAAGTTGGCAATTGCAATTCTGATGTTAAGCTTTGGCAGAAGTTATCGAAGTATTTTAGTATAATATAATTTTTAAAGTGCAGAGTAAATTTAAAACAGATGACACTGATCCTAGACATTTATTAATATATCCTCACTTCTGTAAGATGCCACCTAATCAATGAAAAAGTGAAGGCCTTACTAATTATCACACATTTGACTTTATTTTCTAAGTATTTTTACATCTACTGAATAACATTCTTGTTGTGAAATCCTGAAAAATGTTTTTGTGTTATATTTGAACTCAACAACTTGTATGATTTTTAAAATTACCTTGACAATGTGGGTTCAATTAAAGAGCCAGTTCTTAATTTCATCTGGTCAAGTTCAGATCTCAGTTTCTCAATTTCTTCTGCCAGTCGTTCCTGAAAGAGAGAATCAGGAGAGAGAGAATGTTTTTCAGATCATTTGCAATGAATAAAAAATGGAAATATATATATTAATAGCTACTAACTGACTAACTAACTAACTATATATATATATATATAGTTACTGACATCTAAAGTAAAAAAAACAAACCTTCAGGAATATATTCTCCAGCTGAAGAATTTCTACAAATTTCAATTTGCTAATAACATATCTTCACTGAGGGAAGACACTATAGTACTCTGTAAAAGTAGTGTCTGCTCCCAGCTTGTTTTTTTTTTTTAATCCAATGAGTGTCTTATGAAAATGCATTAATAATCCTGGGACCAGAAACCAGAATCTGGGACTCCCAAATCCCAGGGTCATGCTGTTATCACTAGGCCACAGAGTGATGCTTACTTGCTCTCTCTCTCTCTAGCTCTTTGAATCTTGCACTACCTTCTGTACAGCTTCCCAGCTTCAAAGGGAAAGGTAGAGGATGAGCCCCCTCTCAGCATGGCAGTAAAGACACTTTCCTAGAAAGAGGGAGGTATACATTTCAATTTTCTCATGCTGAGGAGGGCTAAACCAAGACTCCTACTGTCCTGGGAAAATAGTGGGTTAGATCCACTACAGCTGGAGTTTGAAACTCAGCTCCCCATTATACTGATGAAATCATCTAGCATTTTATAGAACTAGGATTTTAGGAGCAAACTAATACCCACAATATAGTGGATACATAAAAAAAAATTTTTTCTAGTGTTATATTAAAAAAAAACATTCTTGGTTTTTTGTTCTATTACAATAGCAGATTTCTACAAACAACAAGTCAGAAGAGAGCAAGTACTGTAAAATATGTCACTGTAAGAGGATTGGTAGCTATGCCTAATTATTCACAAGTGATTACTCATCAGCAGTTATCCATTGGATAGAAATGAGATAAGAACTATAGGAATATACAGATATATGTAGGAATATACAATTTTTCATTACAGATAATAGATGCTCACTGTCTAAGAATTTCATGACTATGAAAGAATAAAATAATCAAAGATTTTGGTTTTGCACTCTCACTGACACTTATTGCCATAACAGAAGATAACATTCTGCAAAATGAAATAATGATTCATTTATATCATGTTGAGCTATGAAAAACTGAAGAGATTCCAATTTCTTGTGAGTTTGTTTGGCTTGACGAGGTGATATGAACAGGACTGGTCAGCACTTTATAGAATGACTAGTTATCCTAATTATCAGGAGCAAATTCTATTTAGATTTAGTAAGTGTAGATATTTAGAAATGACTAATTATACTTAGAGATTATGGGACTCTGGCAAGGACTGAATGCATTGACTAGTAAGACCACAGTGACAAATGATCTCAGTGACTAGTTAACCAGATTTTACTGTAAATACAAGATTAATTAATTGGAAATGTTCTGTAATATAGCACATTTCAGAAATGTGCAGATAATTTAGGTAGGAGGAAAGGAACCTGTGCTACGTGATATCAAATTATTCTGTCTGTAGTATTTTCTCTATGTTGAAGAGATATACAGGAGGGATTTGAGGATTCATAGGCATCACTTACTAATTAATTATTTAACAATTGCATTTAATCAAGGCATGACTATTAATCTAAATTTGCTTGACAACTTCGTTTGCCAAGATTAAAGAACTAAATCCTTTATGGCATTTTATTTTGTAGTTTTGGAGGTCAGAAGTAACAAAAATTCAATCCTTTATCATAATTTGATTGTGTTTACTCACTACATTGAGAATGCATATATCTCACTTTCTATGCTCCCACACCATATCAAGCAAAAAACAGAAGAAGCAAATTTCAAGAAGACTTTGCAAAATATTGTTTCAGAATGAATGTGGATCTCCATACTTGATTTAATAAATAATAAGAATATTCAGGACATGAATCAAACTGAAAAAAATAATTATTCATGCATATTTCCAATGTAACTTTATTAAATCAATAAAGTTATACTCAATTTAAGCATTTACGTGGGAAGTTATAGCTGAAGATTTATTAGCCATTACATTGCTAGCTTGTTTTAGAATAACTTCCCTGTGTAGACAAGCCCTTAATTATTTGCTCAAGGTCATATATGAAGTTGGTAGCAGTTAGGGGCTGAACTGGTCTGAAGAGCTCTTTTCTAGTGCCTTAACATCATCTCTATTCCTTCCTGCAAAATTATTTTAGTGTGGCTTAAAAAAAGAAAAGAAAATAGAATAGAAAATTTAAACAGATATTTTCTTTTGCCTTTCTCCTATTTTTATATGGTTTTCGGTGTCTCATGGTATCCATTATTTCCTCTCCTAGCATTTAGTGCAACTGTATTTTTTCCATTCTGCCCTATGTATTTTAATTCAATTTGACATGTTGCAAAAAATACTTTATGTATAAACCTAAAGGCAGATATATTTGTGGATACTACTGCCTTTAAGGGAAGTACATCTTTAAAATAAAACCAGAATTTCGCATTTACAATACATATTTATAATTCATTTGACTGGTTCACTAAACCATTTGTTAAAATGGGAATTACAATGCTTTGAACTCAGAGGCAACTTTCCACTATGTGTAGTATAAAGTCATTGAATCTTTAAAAATAATTGTATTACATCAAATTATTATAATCTTGACTAAAAATTATAACCTTCTACATGAATATCTCCTTTAGCCTGGTTCCTTTAAGAGCTAAAATGTATATGACAAAATTCTGGCCCAAGTGAAGTCAATGGGATTTTTCCGTTGACTTCAGTGGGGCCAGTATTTCAACCATAAGCATCAGTTTTAGGAGCATTTTCATAAAACATCAATATCTTCTTAAACCATCCAAATAGGTAAATATCACTATTTCCAGGATCCTTGGAAGTATTCAATGTCATTAGATCCCTTCACACATGCCAGATGGAGATGTTAAATATACCATATACAGATTTTCCAATTATTGTGTCAAATTATTTTGTAAACAAAATCAGATTACAGATAATATATCACTGTTATATAATACCTTGTCATGTAATGACTCTTCCAGGCTCTTCCTGAAACTTTCAGATTCCTGAATTAAAACATTCTAGGAGAAAAAGAAAGATTAAAAACATAAATAAAAGAGGAAAAAATAATCAAATACTAGAAGCTGCTATCTGATCAAGTAAACAAAGTTATCTGATCAGTCTCAATCAATCACTACAGATTTTTTTTTATTACAAATTCCCTAAAGCTTTTGGAAAGTGTACAGACTAGATTTGGAACCTATAAATAATCCAAATATTTGATTTCATCAGCAGAAAATGTTTGAAATCACTTCTCAATTCGAATTTTACACTTCAATTTTTCCCAGACAGATATGTTCATTGCTTATATTCTGCCTCAATCATATAAAACACATAGGTGCATAAACCACTAAAACAAGTTTGGCTAAAGAGGTATTTACCATATTTACTTGAATCTAAGATGAATTCACCCTGAATTTAAGATGACCCCCCAATAATTAGTTTTTATATATGGAAAACGTATAAATTTGTTATAATTTTTCAGATATAGAATCTAATTATTGGAGGCTTGTCTTGAATTTGTCCCCCTTCCACTGCTCTGGCAGGGAAAATAGTGTTGGGGGATGGTGGCCCCCTTGCCCTCTGCTCCCTCCATTTCTTCCCCCTATAGCCGCTTCCTCCACTTTACTGTCATCCCCTTGGGCTCCGTTTTGCAAACATGAAATGCAAGGGATCAAAAAACACTGACTGAAATAAACATATCTGTACTAATTTTCATATAGAGGAAAAGAAAACTATGGGTACCTAATAGATTCAGTTAATCTAGAATTGATGCATTTTACCTGCTTTGCAAACTGCTGCAAGTTTCAGCTCAGGTACTCCATACACACACATTTAAGCAGTACTTCTGTATCTACTTATAAATAGTACGAAATCTGTATGATATTAGTCCAAAGCCAAATGGTTCAAGATTTATCATGGGCCCCAGCAGAGTCAACCACATTTCAAGCCATGGTGGCCCCACAGCCCAGGACTTGTGTATACTTCAGATATCCCCCACAAAGGAACCATGTGCTAATTAGCCACTTGTCACTAGAACTGAGTGTTCTCATCTTTTGTCATGAGTTCTGTGATCTTCCTAAAATTTATAGGCAGAGGAGGTGTGGGGCTGTCTGGTTTGGCTCCACCTCATGAAGGCCACCCAAATCACTTGTGACGAGCCAAGGGAGGGGGTGACAGAGCCTCTCATTCCCATAGATGTTTGATGATGTTTGTCAGTCATTTAAAGCTGGGGAAGAAACAGGAATCACTGGAAATGGGAAAGAAAGGCACTTTCTTTCCCATTGTGAAGAGAAAGCCAAAATATATTGACATAGTGGTTCACCATGAGCTGAAAAAGGGCTGATGCTGAGGGGGACTGAGCACAACAGGGACTATATCTTATTTAGATGGGCTGCACTAACCTAGCCTTCTGGTAGCATCCACCTCACAGGAGAGTTGCATTTCTGGAATGGTTCAGTACCCACCAAGGTGCAGTGCAGTGGCTTTAAGCCCAGTTTATGGAAATGGGAGTCTCCTCCCTTACTTGCTCCAAGGGCCTTATAGCTAAAGAGAAGCAAAACTCGGGGGGCATCCAAACCCCAAGTCTCCGGGCTTGGGCCTGCAAGTAGGGCGCCTGCCAAAGGTTTTGGAAACATCTTAAGCCCCAGGTGCGGGTGGAGGATGTTTGCCGGTAGTAGGGCCACTTATGGTTCTGGACTCTTGGATTTGGAATTAATTTTGGCTAATTTGGCCTTGGATACAAATTAAATTAAAAAAAAAAAAAAAAAAGGTAGCATCTCAGCCTTGGTAGGGAAATGCCATGACCACTAAGGGGGTTTTCCTAGTTGCAAGAGAAAACCATTTTCTTGGCAGGGGGTAGTACCTTGACTAAGCTAAGGAATAATTAGCCTCCCACTTTCACTGCCAATGGGAAGATCTTGGCTATATGCCAACCTTATGTAAATGAGAGACTTCACCCTAGCTTGTTCCTGCAGCCATATGGCTGAGGGCAAGCGAAACTCGGGGGCATCTGAACCTCAAGCCTCCAGGCTTGGGCTTGCACATAGGACATCTGCCAAAGGATTTGAAAGCATCTGAAGCCCTAGGCAGGGGTGGAGGATGCTTGCTGATAGTAGAGCCACATATGGTTCTTGAATGACTTAGATTTGGACTTGATTTAGCTGATTTGGCTTGGAACATGAAAAAATTTCCTTAAAAAAAAAAAAAGCATCTTAGCCTTTTGGTTAAGATGAAGCATTTTTGGCAGCAATGGGAGGTTGTCAGGGCTGGCTCTGTCCCTTCTGGTGCCAGCCTGGTATTGTGGTACCTCCAGGCCTGGTGCCAGTTCCCTGCAGTGGGAACACCTACCCATTTTTGTAAGGGCTACACAAGCGAAAGAAAAAAAAGTTCCCATCAGTACATTTGCCCCATACAGGCCATGCATTTTAATGGCATGATTAGTGTAGGCTGCATTTAATCAGCATTAGACTTGATTTCCATTACTGAGCACATGCTGCTTCTGGCAGCACTTTAATGATAGACAATATATATAATAAGGTTTTCTTGTAAACAAATACAAGGTTAGGGGCTGTTTTCCTCATGCTGCTTGAAGGAAAAAACCCTCATCATTTATTTGAGTAAATATGGTAGTTTTCTACCACAAAAAATATACAATTAGTGTGAGGTACCTTTTCATGAATTAAGACCCTAGCTATGGAGGTAAAATGGAAGATGGGCCAAGATACCCTCAGGGCAACCATGCAATGGATAGTGGGGGCCTGTATAATATTCTGGGCTGCAGAAAAAATCCAATCTAGGCTCATATGAAGGTGAGTGGTAAGAAGATGGAAGGAAAAAGACTATTTTCATAGGTCCATTGCCCTTAACAGACTGCTCAGATGGCATGAAGGGACTGATAGTCACCACTGTAGCCAAGAGGCTTCAAATGAGAAAAATATTGTTTTACTTTTAGTGTATATATGACGAGGTTTGTAATTAAGATGACTAAAGTGAAAAGACCCAAATTCAGAGGGCTGCACATTGATCATATACATGGCAAATCTAGGACATATCTCAAGGCCTAGGAAATGCGTATGACAAGAGGAAACACAAAACATCTCTGAATAGTCAGATAACTCTGCATCCCAAAAGGCTTAGTGCACAGAAAAGCATAACTGAAGGAAGAAAAAGGAAGGAACTGAAGAAAGGAGATGAGAAGGAGAAGAGAAGGAGAAGAGGTCTGGGACTTGGGAACTCCTGAGTTGTAACTCTATGCCTGTAACTGTCCCACACTGCGCCTGGGGGCAAGTCATGTAAAATCTCTATCTGCAGTTCCCCATTAGCAAATTGCATACACTTATACTTTATTTATACACTTCACAGTAACAAAAATATTCTTTAGTGAATGTCTGCATCATAATTTGAACAGGAAAAACATAGTTAATGTTGTTAAAACTAAAACAATTATAGCTGATCTCTTTCTTAATGCCAAAAATTTGGTTTTATTTGTAGAAATTGGGTAAATACTCACCTGCGGATTACAAAACCAGCATGACATTTACATTCATTTAAAAGTGGAAAACATATAATTATAGTAATTGTCCTACTACTATTTACATTTTTACTGCCCTTTGAACATTACCTTTTCTTCAAGTGCTGCCATTCTCTCTTTCAAGTGTAGCTGCAGGCGTTCATTGGATTCTGTCAAAAGTCTGTCTACAGTATCTGATAGTCTTTTGTTGTGCTCCTCATTCATTTTCTCTCTTTGCCTGGCCTTCAGTACAGGGCAGAGGAAACACAATGGTAAGTGTCTGGGTTAATTAATGCAGATTTACACTGAACAAATTTTCAGTAAGACATCCAGGAACCAAAGGTATTATTCTTTTGGTTGACCTTACTGAGCCACCACATATTTTGATCAAGGTATATTAGAAAATTCTGTATTAGTAGAATGTTTCTAATGAACTAAAACTAGATTTAAGTGAATTGACTAAGATGGGACTGCATTACTTTCATGTTCACAAATGCTATGTTTTGCAGTCAAGAGAGCTGCATGTTTGTACTCAAAGGCAGAATTTGGCTCCATATTGTCAGATTTTATGCACAAAAAATAAACCATCTGCAATGAACATACTCTTTGGAGTTCCTGATTCTTCTCTTCAAGTTGAGCTTCTAAGTGTCTCATATGTTCTTCGATGTTACCATGTCTTTCCTCTGCCTGCAAAAAAATAGGAAGACTTGGTCTGAAATTTAAATAGCTTTCTAACTCATTATCTCAGTAAAGTTCAAACAAAACATAAAGCAAGCTACTACTAACTGCAAACTTAGTTTTCAAAAAATAAACTTTATTCAAACAGGCAGCTGAACAGCATTGCTTGAAATGTGTCAGCTACAAAGGCCTGTTACATCCAAGCATCAGCAAAACATTGGAGTTATTTATGAGCAATGAAATCAGCCAAATGTAACATGCAGACTGTGCATGGTTTGAACACAAACCTGCCATCGTAAAATTGTAAGCTCCTGAAGCACTGAACTGCACGATGGTTGATTATCAATAAAAAAAATAAAAATAAAATAAAATAAAATTAAATTAAAACAAATTAGATGGATTCTATTTAGCAATAGAAAGTAAAGTCCAGTAGGACTACCTTCCTACGTATGGAGATCATTTCTTGTAGTTTAGCTTCCATAACATATTGATAATCATCAGATGAGGTAGAAGAGGTTGGATCAGACTAACAAGTCAAGGAAAAGGAGAGGGACAAAATTGAAAAATCAGAACTAAAGACACTGACACTGAACAGAACACAGCACAGAATGCTTAAAAGAAAAGCGTGACTGAAAATTTAATATTTTAACTGACACAGTTTTATGTGGAATAAACTACACTGATATTTGGTGAATATGATGCAGTTGACGTGGATAAACAGAAAACAATGAAATGTTAAAAAAGCTATCAACCTAGGTATGGAAGGTCAAGGTTAGTAATGGCTGGCTGATGAAAGATTTCTACAGAGTAAAATCAAAGCAGTTCTGGCTAATAGGGTCTCATGTTGTAGTTGGAGTTATGGGGATCTAAACATCGGAGTGTGACTCTGAGAGGCCAATGTCAGAATTTTTGTAAAATTTTTGCACCATTTTATAGGAATGAAAAACAATGCCTAAATGTAATAGAATATATAAAATTAATGGATTAGTCATTTATAGTAACTGTGCAGTGTTATGAAAGATTTTCCTAGAAAACACAGAAAACTAATAAAATACAGCTCAAGACTTTTTAGAGAGAGAATCAAATAAGCCCTTTTTACCCCAATAAATTATATAATTTCTAATTTCTTTGAGAGGATTCACCCTGGTGAATCCATTTTATGAGGTTAGTCCCATACTTTTAGGAAAGACTTCATAAATACAACATCATTAATTGGACAAGAAGTCATGTACTGAATATAAAGAATGGCAGTCCATCCAAAGTCATTGTTTTTTCTCATATAAAATTTAATAGACCATTTGTTACAAAATATGGATCTCTCTCATCCTCATATCAATGAAGTCTATTGTACCATTTTAAAGAAAGCTGAAAGAAAGCTATGTCGAATTTGTTGCTACGGAAACAAAACATGTGCATAAGAAACAGACACTGCACAGTATTACTGATGTCTGTGCTTTGTAAGCTCCTGATTTTGAAATGCTCTTTGATTAGGTCATTGTCAGAAATGACCTCTGGGTCACCAGGTACGTAAACACCCAGCAAATGTAATGTTAGCGATAAGAATATACTTCATTACTGAGATCATCATCTACAAAAGAGTTATCAGAATAATAATTAGGCGCACATACTAAAATAAGTACACATAGTTTATTGTGTATGGTACACACACCATAATTTAAGATCACTTCAGTGATACTACTACATTTACTTGAATCCAAGATGATTTTTTCCCCCACATATTTCAACATGGGGAAAAGGCTCATCATCTTAGATTTGAATAGGTAGGTGGCTAGGTGGCTGCCCCAGCTCCAACCCTGGCCTATACCCAGGACCAGGGTTGAGTTGGAGCAGCAGGTGCTGCCCACCCCTCCCCCTGTACTACTTACTCTCAGTTGTGGTTGTAACTCTGGCTCTTGCCCAGAGCATGGAGCACAGGATGGCTCTGGTACCCACCTGGCAAGGCAGCAGTGGCAGCAGTTCCAATCCTGGCTCCATCTCTAACTTAGCCCTGGGGCTGGGGCTGAATGTGTTCCTGTAGCTGCTGTTGCCTGGCCAGGTAGAAGCAACAGCTATCATGTGCTCTAGACCCTATAGCCATGAAGCATCCTAGAATTAGGCAACTACTTCCACCTGACTGAGGAAGCCAAGGCCCTCTTGAATGCCAGTGACTCCAAGGTGCTGTGGGAGCATCTCCAGGCCACTGATAGGTGGTTTGGGGCCCATGAGATGAGCAGTGAATGGTAGGAACAGATTGTCCTGGGTACCTGGGATAATGAATAGTGTCTATAAAACTTCCCCATGTGCTGGGCCATTTTCATAGACATCATCACCCAGCTGGCACACCACATTGAGTGGCAGGACATCAGCATAAGGCCATCCCTGACTCCAGAGAAGCAAGTCACCATTGTCACCTGGAAACTTGCCACTCCCTACAATCCAGTGGCATGCTGAGGGGAGGGCCAGGAGGGGGCCATGGCCCTCGGTGCAGGCCTGAAGGGACACTGGCCGGGCAGCCAGGCCATAGGCAGATTAATACATGAGAAAACTGGGTACATGTCCCCAGGGGTCTGTTCCAATTCAGGGCCCCAGGATCCTCACCAGCAGGGAAGTGAAAACCGCAGTTTAAACTCAGTGCCCATTTTTGACGCCAAGTTTAAAACCGCAGCTTTCACATTTGCTTCCCTGGGAGTTGGAAGCAGGGCCCCTCCTCCACCAATGTAGCTGTGGTAGGGCAGGGCTGGTGTTTTGCCTGAAGAGCTGTGGTGTGCCTGCAGGCCGGGTGGTGCCACATCTGGGGCAGGGGGCTGGATCCATTGATCTTATGAGGTCCCATCCAGCCCTAATGTCTATGAAATCTATGAAAATGTGCTTATTATCAAGTGGAGAACTCATGGTTGGTCTGAGGGGCTGCGTGGAACAAGGTATCTGGGTCACAGATACAGATACACAAATCCAGTGCCAACACTAGCTGTTTTGATCACCTTATTTTTCTCTAGGTCCTTCTTCTCTAGGTACTTCACAATAGGCTTCTGAGGCTGAATTTTGGGGTTTGGAGCCCTACTGGGGATGTGTTTTGACATTGGTGTGGTGAGTAATGGCTGTATCAATCCCCATGGCTCCCTGAGTAGATACTGCAGTTCAGGTACCCATGGCAGTTAATGCTCACACTTCACCACTGGAGATGGGTCTGGATCTGGTCCATGAGGAGCCTTGCAGTTTGGTTTTGGCTATCAGGGCCAGGTGAATTTGCCACCTCTACTCTGTACTCTCTCTTTTTTCTTTACTTGCATGGCATTGTCCTTCACCATTGTTACCTTCCTTATCCCTTTATAATGGCCACTTTATCTCTAGAAAGAATACCTCACATATTCCATCTTTTGCTTATTCTAACTCCTGGCTTCCCTTTCAAATAATATTACCTCTCCTGCTGTCCTCTCTTACAAACATCTCTTTCTCACACAATCTCCCCTCTGAATCATTCACTGAAGAATGAGCTTTGGGCTCCTTTTCTTGCAT